CTGCATGTCTCTGACCAGGAAGCCCTAGAGTTCGAGCCCTGACGGTGGCAGAATTTTCGACACTATCTACATTGCTGTCTACATAGCTTCAAAGAAGAGAATTCAGTAGTTGTCTGGAGAATTCTAGCAGCCAGATGCTCTGATCGGTTGTTTTGCGAGGATTTTCCTATCAATGCCAGGCGAATACCAGAGAAGTACCCGAACAAACGCATACCTAATAATATTTTACAAATGTACTCCTTTTCTTTGTAATAGCCAATATTTTGTAATCGTTAGATTAACATTTTGTAATAATGTAATAATTTTGTAATTAACTTCGAATTTTGCTATCATAAGCTCAAGATTTTGTAACAAATACTCAAGAAGAAATATTAGAAACTCAGCTACTCGTAGGTCGATTCGCCTCCGATTAACAGAAATAGCGATGTTTTCGAATATTGGTATATGAAAATGTTATCTTTGCATCTGTATATAATAAAAATATATTATTTCACTTGCAGGCTTTACACATTTGTTAATCGTATTTGTAAAAGATATAAGAATTTTAATGAGAAAATATTTATTTCTTCATTTGTTACATCTAGCACTTTAGGAAAGCTAATTGTATTTAGAAATGTTTAAACTGTCTAGTGCTATGAGTCAGTGGCCGTGTATGGCAAATGCTCTAATGACCACTTGATCTGTGCGCAGAAAATTTCCAATAACCTGGCGATGGTGGATATGAATGAGAAGTTTCTCCAGGGTGAGTTGCTGGACCTACGCCACAGCTCCGTTTATCTGAACGACGCCATCATCTGCGGCGGTAAAGGTGGGGGTCTGCACATTGAGCAGGAATAACATGTACGAGTGCCTCTTTATTCTATCTTATATTGAATTGAATTGAATTGAAGCCTTATTTTACGTGGCGAGACTTAGGAAATGAGGCTTGCTCTTCCGTCTGATCACGCAAATTTTCCTTCGCTTTTTTCACGAATTAGCGAAGAAAGGTTTTTTTGGGCGACAGAAGAGATGATTAGCTCAAAGGCTTCATTTAGGCTTGAGGATCTTTTACATCCAGTAAATCTACTAATATGGGATAGCCGGCTTTACTTCCCCTCCGAAGGAAGGCCTTCGAAGGGTGTTTTCGCCCTTAATAATCCACGACTTCGATCGGGGTTTGAACCCGCGAACTTAGGTATAATAGACCGATTTGTTAACCGTTACAACATCGCTATTGACACGGGTACCACGGGCGTACTCACGGCGGGAGCTTAGAGCTGGCCCCGCCTGGGGCGGTGCTTCGCAGGTGGGAGATACCTTGATCAGCGTTACCGGATCTGACCATCCTGCGGGGGGGGGGATTTGCCACCTCCCGTGACAAAAACATTCACTACACCTACGGGACTAATCACCCAACTTCGACGAAACATGGGCGTGCGAGCATGGGGGAAGCAAGAATGTCGTGCATTCCCTGAAAATTTTGAAAGGGGCATGTGGCCGTATTTATTACATATAATGTATAGTTTATTTATTTAACTATGTTCAATCTCTGATTTTTCCCGTTTTCAATCTAGTAATTTAGGGATATGTTGTACGAAATTTGAGAGAAGTTTTCGGAAGCCATACGGAAACTTTTTAAATTATTCAACATAAAGTCGGGTAAATTTATTAATTGTATCATTTATGTTGTAATTTCATTCTCCTTGGTGCGCGTTTTATTTATACTATACTATAATGTATGTTAATAAAGTTTAATTGTAGTGGGGCCAGAAATGTACTTTTTCTTTTGTTTTAGGCTTTGTCCATCTATGCGGGATATCAATTAGATATGTATTACCTTTGTGAAAAAGTTGAATGACATATTATTTGTATGTATATAAAGTATTTCTACCTTGACACGAAAAAAAGGCACACCTACAAATTTTCAGTCAAGGACTTTGATATTTATGTACTTTTTAATTCATCTTCTACACCATTGTTATTGGTGTTAATTTAAAAATTACTCTGATACAGAATGAGAAAAATATTATTTCTTCTCGTAATCTTTTCAGTGTATGTATTCACCACTTGTCAAATAATACTTATTTAAAAACATAAGGGGAGAAATTCAGTACTTGCCACGGGGGTTAGTTTATTTACACGTCTGTGGTTGTCGTTTACCGTCTGTTTCACTGTCACTCAATCGGTCTTTGTAATTGCACTGTTTCTCTCGCTCTCTCGCTCTCTCGCTCTTTCGCTCTCTCGCTCTCTCGCTCTCTCGCTCTTTCGCTCTCTCGCTCTCTCGCTCTTTCGCTCTTTCGCTCTTTCGCTCTCTCGTTCTTTCGCTCTCTCGCTCTCCCCCCTTTCCCACTCGTCCTCTTCTCCCTTCCCTCCCCGTCCATTTGTCCTCTCACAATATCTTCCTCTCCCTTTATTTCCCCCCCTATCTCCCTCTCTTCCTTCCTTCCTCCCTCCCTCCCTCCTTCCCTCCTCCCTCCCTCTTCTGTTCTACTTCTTCCTCTTCACCTTTCTCTCGCTTTCCTCAGACCTCCCTCCCTCCTTCTCCCCCTCGCTCTGCCTTTGTTACATTTAGTAGTCTAGAGAGTCGCACTGAGACTAGCTCTCCGATATCCCATAATTCATCCCCCGAGATCGTTAGTGAGATAGCGACTAGCTCGCAATTCCGCTTATTTCAACATACGAAGAAGACGAAGTTCATCTGTAAGCACCTAAAGTTCTTAATCAGTTTATTAGTAAAATTAAACTATTTGAAGTGACGATGAAAATAAAAATATAATTTTTCAGTTGGTTTAATAGAATTTAAATTATGAAAGCTGGAAAAAAATTACTTAAAAATTTCGATGCTTTTTCTTTTAGCTCTTCATTGTATTCATTGTGCTATTCATTGTATGAGAAATTTTGATACGTATGCCAATTTTTGAATTCTTTCATAGGTTACGAATTTTATTATTCAGTCCTTTACAAATTTCTATTTCATTTACTGTTTTTCCTCTTGCATCAGACGTCACATTTCATGAGCCTGTGCCAACAGATTACTCCGTGAGCGCCAACTCCAAGGTGATCATCATTACGGCGGGAGCTCGCCAGCAGAAGGGCGAGTCGAGGCTCAACTTGGTTCAGAAGAACGTGGAGATCTTTAAATGTCTTATTCCTGAACTGGTGAAGCACAGTCCGGACTGCATATTGCTGATCATAACTAACCCAGGTGTGCACCGATGAAATCTCTATTCTTAGAATGGAACTTGCTGCTGCAGGCAAGATTTTCTGGGGTAGTAGAACAAATTACTTTTCCCAACGAAAGATATCCCACGGAAGACAACATATAAGGCGGAAACTGGTTTCTGACATAATGCTGTTTTCTTCAAGAGATGTTAGAATGAGTTGGGGCACATTATACCTAATAATATTATTCTGATAATAAAACATAATTTTTTTGACTTAAAAAGGCGGATATATCGCCAAAATTCTCTGCGCATCATAGTTTATAAGCTCTCCCAACTCCGCATCCAATCACAGATTTAAACTACTGCTGGAACCTTCTAGAACAAATAGTGGTTAGGTTCGGCTAAGAGCGCTTGCAACGGCATGGCAAGTTCGAACCTAGCAGAATTCTGGGAAGCCACGTCGCGCACCGGCTCGGTTATCAGACTGGCGAGGCGCGCCCACGCGCCCGCGCATCCTGGCGCAAGAGCGTGAGAAAGGCATCGCGCAATTCCTGTCCACTTAAGCACATGAATTAAGTGTAATTTTTTTTTTTTTCTGTTGGGCCTGAACAAAATGAACTGTGGAATCGTAGAAATATTCGGACGATTTAGGGCGCAACATTCGGGTGTTTTTCGAATGAAATAATTTCACCGCAGATCGTCGGGTAGCAAAGTCTAAAACTACTAAGGTTACGTACCTACATCCAAAATATCGATCTTTCTCTACGAACGCAAGCGAATCTGCTCCACTTCCTTCAGCCCAAAATAGTACGAATATTCTCATAATTCCACAGCTCACATTTTTGAAATATTTGCGAGAAGGACGCTTAATACCATGAACGTGTAGTATAGATGGCATAGACTATCCAGTTCATTTAGGGTGAACGGAACAGACAGAAAAGAAGTATCTTCGGCCGACAGCCGATGTTTTTGGACGCCGGCGGAACCGGTCGCTAAACCGTTTTCGTTTGACAGCACTGAACAAATCCCCATACTAATCAAAAACGTTCAGCGGCGGCCAATCAACATTTTTGCCAAAATCGGCTCCACTGTCTAAAGAACGCTCCACAATACCCGGTGAACGCGAGACGAAAAGAAAGTGAGAAGGTGAACATATCAGGCAGGCGTTTACATCACGACGGGAACGCGAAGCTTGATGGGAAGCCGGATGGTCAACATCTATTTTGGCCTGGGGACGGGAAGCATCTCGACCAACGAAGTACAGCAAATGAAGCTTTCCAGTTGATCCCCCTGCGCGCCAAAGCGGAGTTGAGAGTAGTGCAAAATTGGTATTAGTGTGGATTTGCAAGGTTATGTTTTGTTAGTCATTGATAATTTGTTTTAACTTCTTTTAGTTGCTACAGTATAATTGTTTTTCTATTCATATAAATACTTACAATTAAAAATTTTCACAAAAATGTTTCTATGTTCTGTTAAAGTATACTGCAGTTGTTTATTGACAAACATTTAGTTAGTTGTGTTTTCCGTAAGTTCGTAGTACTTTTTGTATTTTGCGTTCTTACGGTTTTGTTGTTTTCAACTAATATTCTTGCGTTAAAATATTCATTTGTAGCTGTACACGCGAACACAACAGACGGATATCAAAACAGAGGGAACAGAGTATCACAGCTAGAAGTGCTTTGGTTTCAGTAACTGTTTCTTGAAGTTCCATTTCTTGCCGCTGCAGATACATAGCGCTATTCTTCTTCCTGTTGGGGGTTATTGTGAAGTGTACGCACTTCCCTTCCCGTCCCTATCCCGTTCGCGGGTTCTTGTAAAGGCCTTGAGAACTAGTCACCTGCTTGCCCAGTGGACGTGATGACGTACGTGGCGTGGAAGCTGAGCGGCCTGCCGTGCCACCGGGTGATCGGCACGGGGTGCGCGCTGGACTCGGCGCGGTTCCGCTTCTTCATCGGCGATCGGCTCAACGTGCGGCCCAGCAACGTGCACTCGTGGGTGATCGGGGAGCACGGCGACAGCAGCGGTGAGTGCATCCGCCGTCGCCCTGGCCCGTGCACCAAGTGAGATGTAGAGAAGGCAGGCTCGTGTAGGGCGAAACGACTGACGGTATTGCACAGAGGAAGGAGACGGCTATTCAAAATGCCGCATTAAAAACATTGACGTTCTAATTTTTCAATGGACACCTTTGATAAAAAAATACATTGAAACTTCGGTAAGATAGCACACACGAAAACCAATCAAATTAGTAACACATTCCAAAAAATGTCTGGTCGTCGATTCAGCATATTCAATCCCTAGCTCGCATTGGACATCCGATATTTTCGGAAGAGTTATAGTATGCTTAAATGACTCTACTGCGCATGTGCAGTGTACCCTTTCTCGGGTGTCTCGCTCGGATTTAAACTGTCTAGTGGAGAGATGTCACGTGCGAACTCTGCTGGAACATAAATGAAGATCATCTCCGTGAGTCTATCGATGATGGTACTTGCCAAATCTGTTCGTTCATTTCAATGCAGCATCCTGGTTGTGAACGCATGAACAATGTAATGCTTCACGAGAAATAATTTAAACTAGCAAGTGCCGTGTTATTTGTACTTCTTTAAAAATGTTTTCTACAATCTGATTACACGTTATTTTGGAGATAAGTATAATACACATTTTCGGAAAGACTCTGGAATGAGAAATGCGTACGTTCACTAACTGAGAGTGACCAATGTCGTGTTTGCGGGAGCCATCTGCGAACATGTAAATGATATACGGGGAGTGTCTGAAAAGCTTATTTATTCTATCCCTGTTATCTTATCGATATTGGAAGAAGGAAATAATGTAAGCATTGGCAATCTACACATCATTTATACATTAATATAAATATTAATAATTATGGTTTTTCGGTTATTACTAAGCATTATGGCGCAGTGTGAGCTAAGACTGGCTCTCCCGGTGCAGTGCCCGTGTGGTCGGGCGTGGACGTGGCGGGCTTGCGGCTTCGGGAGATAAACCCCGACGTGGGCACCGAGGACGACAAGGAGAAGTTTTCCGAGTTGCACACGAAGGTTGTCCGCAGGTCAGGCACCGATGGGCTACGCAATAAATTAAGGCCTCACCGAAAATAAATTACTCTCACGAAAGGCAACGTATCTATGAAAGAAAGGTGAACAATTATTTCAATGCTAAAAATTACTAGTTGATAATTAAAATGAGTGAAAACTGCTTTAAATAAGTTATGTAGCAGATTGTAATTTGAAAATCAAGAATGTCGAATTCTAAAGGGGAAAAAGTGTGGCGTCTGTTGGACGTCAGCCCAACACATTTAAACACATATGTTGTAATTTTCTAATGAAAAAATATTTAATAAACAAAAGTTATTACAGTATTTTCTGGAACTATTTGCCGAACTATGGAGAAAAGTCAGTGAGATGATCTCACTAAAATGGAATTCTCTCGTCCTTTGTGTAATGCGTAAAGAAGAGATACCAAATCTTTAATATATTGCTATGAAAATGTGCAAGATGAAATTAGTGGTGCTACAGAATGACACAGACTTCCTTGTATTAGTTCTCTATTTTTGTTTTGGTCTGGGCTAGATATTCTGAATGTCCCCATCCTCTTGCCAGCTGCCATCTATTACCGCCCAAAGTACATTTTTTTTTAAATTTTCTCAAATTTTCTCAATGTTTCAGTTTTTTAACAGAACCAAATTATTACTTTAAAAACATTAAAGAAGAGTAAAACCTCGTCCTAATTGGCAATTTTCATTGAAAAATGTTTAAGCAAATGGTGTTTAAGCGATACGGACATCGTTTCGGTCGTACTGCGGAACGTCGCATGCATTTCGCCCTGAGGAATGTCGCAGCATGGCGACACAAACGTTGTTATATCTCCCGAACAGTATATTCTATTTTATATAACGAATTAAAACATACTAGATGGCAATAGCTATTACCGGCATCATAGGTCACGTTGCCTATCCTAAGGGTTAAATGTGTTTAAAATTGTTGGTTCTTATCCTACGTATCGTTACCAACACAGCGTGACATCATATGACCTGTCTTGTGGTCAACACGATTTAAATTGGCGAACGCTCTTTCCGTGTGTTGCGCAGTGCGTATGATGTGATCCAGCTGAAGGGCTATACGTCGTGGGCCATCGGCCTGACAGGGGCCTCTGTCACGCGCTCCTTCCTGCGCAACACAGGAGAAATCAACGCCGTCTCCATCTTCGCCAAGGTGGGCGGCCTCCCAGCAAGCGAATGGTTTTCATTACGAACCGGCTGAGATGTCTCAGGGCAATGTTATTCTGCATGCTGAAACAACGGTTGCCACTGCAGTGACTCTGAGCACAAGCTCCTGAGATGTGAGTCCAGGCAGTGTCGGTCGAATTCACCTGCTGTCTGGAAGACGATTACAGCGATCGTCTGCTCTGCTCGATATTTTCCCGCGGAATCTCCGAACAGTACCAGGCGAACACCCAAAAGAACAATCTAAATAATCTCTACCACCATTGATTTTTATGCCCTCATCTTGGTCTCTCTCCTCTCCCCTTAGATACACACACACACACTCACACACACACACACACACACACACACAACTACTTGCACTACATTATCAAACATGTCGGGTGATCAGTCGCAAGCTTAGAGATTGTACCGGCTTTGGCAATGCCCCGCTGGCGGAGATACCTAGAGACGGGAACCCTCTGCGTGCCTACGTAGGTCGGATCCCACGTCGCCAGATAGCACGTTCACGCGGAGTAGGAATACCGCCGCCACCCGCGATATAACATTCATTACACATACGGGACTAGTTACCATGACGGTGATCCGCTTGGCAAGACAAATCAATAGGGCATGAAGTGATTACAACGGATGCCTCATTTTGGAAATTTGTCACCCTTGCCTGACGCGGTCTGTGTTGTTGAGAATTCTTTACTTTGGCATTGCATACTTTGGACTATTTTTGGACTCTGATGGTCACTGATAGGAACCGACAGTGTCATTCACGTTCATCGTTATTGCAGTCAAGTGTTTCATTCGGTTTTCTTATGATGTACGTATTAGAGGCGGTTTATAGTTAGGTTAGAGTTTGGTTAGAGGCGTATTATAATAAGGCGGTAGGAGAATTTTCGTCTGGTCCGCAAAGAACCAAAAACGTCATAACTGACTGATTAGAAGGTAGCTTTATATTGTCATAACAAACACACTGAACGTACAGCTCGATGATTAAACAATGTAATAATATTAAATATGCAATTTAAAAAACAAATGTTTTGTAGGTTGCGTGGAACGCAGCCCGTTTGGGTAATGTGTTTGTCTCTGGAACAACAAAGCGACAAAGAGTACGCGGAAACTCATTTGACCAAATTTACATTTAAATCAATTTTATTGGCAAAAATATCCATTTTAATCCCTAATGTATCATAAACTTGTGATTTCAAGTTTTTAATAATTAAATCCTTTCTTGTTTCGCCCCACACTTGAGTCAAAATTTTGAAAACTAATAACAATCTATTACGTTCCACAAAGTTTACGCTCCTACAGTACAAATCTATAAATTTTGTGTGGATTCGCGATGTCACCCATGCACAGGAAATCAAAATATTGTCATATTTATTTGGGATCCTGGCTCTCTGTTCTTTCTTCTATCATTGGGTTTATATTACTTGCTAATAAATACTCAAATTTTAACAATGCCTACATTTTAAACACAATTTTAACAATCAATATGAGCACCAATTATTTATTGACAAACACCATATTTCAAAATTTCAAGTTTTTTGAAGTGGAAACATACGAGGGGCGGTGTATATCTGGGTGTAACCATCCGTAACCAGTGTTGGTAACCCCCACCAAACACAATGCTAGAATACTTTGTTTCCCAGAGTGCGCTGCTTTCACCGCAAAAAACATGGCTTCAATTTGCTTCAACAATGGAGGGCTTCAGCCACTCCATGTAGTATATTTTACCTCGTTGATTAACACCCATTTCATCGAGTTTCATATGGTATTTTTCTACGACTTATGGTAACTTTTACAAGATAAACTTTTACATTGCATCGTTTCGTGGTAGTTGACATACAGGATTCAGCCAAGACTACATAGCGGACAGCTCCACCGGAACCTGCCGCAGGTGGCTTTGGTTTACCAGTCTGCCTGCGAAGTAATTTTGTTTGTTTTTTCGGCTATAATTCCGACGTCACCATTTTCGCCATTTCTCTTATTTCTAGAAGTGTCAACTCCAACTCGGATTTTCTAGACATTTTAAACTAACGAATTAGTCCGTATTAAAGGCAACCACACGGCAGCAACACAACACAAAATGGTTTGTGTTCTCAAGTAAACGTCGGTCAAATATTCTAGTCACAGGGTTAGCCAAACAGGATTTTAAATAATATTTTATGAAAAAAATTACTACTAACAAAATAAATTAAAACTGACCAGCATAATGTAATATTAAATTCAATTTTTATAAACGCACAATCGAACGAAACATTTTCTAGAATGATTCTCAATGAGTAAGTATCAATACTTAGTTTGTAAACTTCTGTGATTTGTCTAGTACCTGTATCGTATCATTATCCAACGCGCTGCAGCCATCAATTGTCAGAATTATACAAAGGGAGTAGTAAAATATACATATATTTTACCTTAAACTTCGCCGTATGTTTTATAACAATTAAAACGCATTAGTGGAGAGTGTGTAGTGCGGTACTCTTCGGGCCCATCATGCCTGGAGCATGCGAGTGATGAGCATTACGAGATCTTGTTGGCTGCGCTGCTGAGTTCTTGAAGGGCTCGAATGCGCGAGGTTTCTTTGTGTCTCGCAAGGGTACCACGGTATCGACAAGGACGTGTACGTCTCTTACATCCGTAAGATATACTCTAAACCAAAAAATAAAATAAAATGATTAAAACAATGTACCGAATGAGATGGATCAGGACATCGACTGATGTCCCCGCAGACCCTCCGTCCGGGAGGTCCTGGGTCGAGTCCCGACGGTGGCAAGAATTTCGACACTAGTTTAGTTGGCGAGGTCAAATTCATTCGCTGTCTGGAGGAGAGCCAGCTACTCTGATCAGTAGTTTTTCGTGATTTCTCTTGGCAATACCAGCCGAATGCTGGAGCAGAACCCTAACACACGGGCCAGGGTCCGCGCGCGATCTCTCCTTCTTCCTTGTCCTATCCTCACCCGTTACACACACACTTACACTAACACTCACTACACTAGAACACATGCCGGGATATCAGTTAGGAGCTAAGAGCTTGTCCCGGCTGCGGAGGTGCCCCACTGGTGAAAGCTACCTGGTTGGGGAAAACCCCGCTGGCAAACAGTAGGTCGGCGCTGGATCTCACCATACAACGGGGAGAAAGATCACCGCTACCTCCCGAGCAAAACAGGCATTACATTTACGGGACTATTGGCTCTGGTAGTTGACGGAGTTCCTAAACAATCAATCAGTTCAAACAATGTAATGATAGGGAAGTATGATTAATTGGTCTTATACACTGCCCAGCTAGGTAGAGGGGGTTCGCAAGATCAAGGTTCTAATTGTGAGGATTGCGGGTCGCAGGGGGACGTTTCGTCCGTAAGAGATACGCTAAACAAAATATTAAGAGTGTAATGATAGGAACGTGTGATTACGAGACCTTATTGGCTGCACTGCTACGTGGTAGAGGGGTTCGAACGTTCCAGCGTTGGCCCGTGTGTCGCAGGGGTACTTCGGCATCGACAAGGACGTGTACCTGTCGCTGCCGTGCGTGCTGGGGCGGGGCGGCGTGTCGCACGTACTGCGCATGCGCCTCACGGAGGAGGAGGCGTGCCGCCTGCGCAAGTCAGCCGACGTTATCCACGAGGTGGTGTGCAGCGTCAAACTTTGAACACCGTCTGTGGAATATGCTACGAATGGATTTTATGTGTGTATAGGTTCTTGAAAAACCCTTGTGGCATGTTTTCCAATACTATTGAACATGTATAATATTATGTAAAAATGTAGGTTCCTTGACCATTTACAAATATATTGTTTTTAAATGTAATATTTTTGTATGTACATTTGATAAACAATAATTAGTAAAATACAGCAATGGTTTTACGACTATGGTGGACAGTCATCGAGTAGCAGTTGCGCTTAAAGCTCTGAAAGCGGAACATTATATGGTACTTCCCATTAGAAAGAAATCGTAGTATTTTTATTTTTTTCAAAAACGTGTTTTCCGGGAGTAATTTTAAGTAAAATCACTGAGAGATATTCATCAAGAAAAATTATTGTACCCATGTATTCTAAATTCGCAATGCACCGAAGAGATGTCGATGGTATGAAGTCTTTAATTTTGAACACTTGTCAGTTTGAATATTTAATTTTCTGGCAGTAATATTAATATATGGCCTTAAAGAATGTTTGGGAATACATAGTCTGATGGTTTTCACATCCTCTTCTTGTTTTTCATGTTTTTCCAATATTCATATCACATAACAGAATATCTTTAATAAACTTTTCACGTAATCTCAAATTACAATTTTTGTTTCTTTAAATGCTAATGTTTTATATTGCATTGATTTTGCGTCACCTAATTCTACAAGAAGTATAAATTTTTGCTGAGATAGATGACTAGATAAGTCATACATTCGAAAATTGAGAGAATTAAAAGGTGTCCAGAAAACAGTGGTGTCTCTTACAAAATTAACTTGTTTTTTCCTTAGGTTATTAAAATAACACAGAGATAAAATAATCAATAAAAAGATATGATCATTTAATTAAGTTTTATTAAAAGCAACGACGTAGACATTAGGACGTTGAAAGCAAAACTTGACATGATTTTGAGATGAAGTCATTGATATAGGAGACGTGGACACGAAGTCCCTGATTTTAAGACTTTTGAAATAAGTTGGTGAAGGCAGCCCAGCAGCCGCATGGCCCGTGGTCATCTGCTCCCCTTCCGCGCTCTCGCCGCCCGCGCCAGAAGAGGCGGCGGGTGCTGGCAGTGCGAGCGAACCGGCCAACGGCAGGGCTGTAGTGGCGGAGCGGGCGAGATGCGTCCTCGCCAACGTCAACGGGGGCTTCTTTCGTGCCCTCCTGCGCTTCCTCGCCATCCTCGCCCTCTTGCTCTTCCTTCCCCTGGGGACGCCAGCACTCCTTCATCCAGCATGACGCGCAGTAGCCGCTGTCACTTTCAAAATAGGCAGTTTCCCCCGCGGCGTCCGTTACTGCTCGCAGATTAGTTTCACGGACGCGTTTCTGAGTCTCATCCCTATTCTTCACCTTCCTTGCCACGTTCTTGCAGTACCCATTCTCCCCAGCTGCGTCATCGGCTGCATGGAGCTGTTTAACCTCAAAGCTCGGGCCCCGATTCTCGGAATCTTCCAAACTATCTGCGTTGCAACCAAGATCGGTGTCGGTGTCGGAGGACGCGCAGAGGAAACGTAAGTCCAGTGGAGGTACTGGTTTAAGCGTCTCCCAGGAAAAGAACATCTTCCCTTTCCTGTTACGCAAGTCAGCGGGCAAAACACTGGGCAGGCTGCACCAACGAATCATGTAGTACTTGTTGCAAACGTCGCAGCACTCCTCTATTCTTCCCAGAATGTCGTAGATCTCGTTCGTGGAGTGGCAGAGGCGATCCCAATCGTTAACGCGACGCCGTTTGTAGCGAAAGAAGCCATGTCGATGGTTTAATATGCCTCCCGCTTTGAAAGGCATGCCGGGACTCGAGAAGAGGCCTTCCTGCGTGAGTTGCTTGGTTCACTGCCCGCTTTGCACGCGACCGTACCTACACTGGCTACCCACAGCGCTTCTTCTTTTCGGCGGTTGCCCCGGGTACGTGGAGCGGCTCTTCCTCTATTGCTTGAACAATACTTATATTATTTCTTGTTTGGAGCAATGTTTTTGTTTGTTGCATGAACACAGAGAAATTGACGAGATAAATTGAAAAATTACTGGATGCAAAGATGGGTGTGCGGGAAGAATCGTGAAAAAATACAGTATCATAAATCAGAATTCGGTGATGGCACTGACATTTTTAATTTACTCAATCAACATTTGTTGTAGCAGCTAACTTATCGTTGTAACTGATGATGTGACTTATTTTCTGAAAAACGACAATCCCCTACTGTCTTGATGGGAACGCCGATATTAAAACGTGTCACCATTGGTTGAACATTCCCCTTCTTTATTTTATATGACGCGATGTAATAAAAACATATTTTTAAATCAGCCACGTCCCAAATGTGTTTAATTTATATTTCGAGTATCCAATATCCAATATGTACTATCTATTACACCTTCGAACACTCATGAGTTTTGGAATTTGAGATGTAATATTCGTATTTTATTTTCGTCACGTCCATTATAACTACCAATGTCTTGTTTTGTAAATGCATTATACCACTCATATATTGTCTTTTCCGGGTCCCGGTGTCCTAAAGTAAGTTATTAAATACGTAACAAATTTTGTCTTGTGTATTTTATATATCTCAATACTTTGCACAGTATTGGATTTTTATGGTTATGTCACTAACTTCTAAGACGATGTGTGGGCGTTTTCCCTTTTCCATTCATTACTTTTGTATTTGCATGCCCTCGTCATTCCATTTCATGAATAGCACTCAGCACTTAGTTTTCTTGTGTACTTGTGGTTGGACACGTTAGATTATAATATTTAAAGGTAATGTAAATTTCTAATGTATCCCAGTAAGTCTTCTAAATGATGGCTCTCACAATCCAGATTTCTAGTTTGTTGCTTCATACAAACGTTGTGGGTTGTAGCTGAACTAAACAGATTTTTTTTGTTTTTTCTCTCTATTGCTTTACATGTTTTAACTTAGACTCTTAAAGTCGTTATTTCTTATGCAATTTTAATTTATGAATTCAAAGTATTATTTGCAACTATTTATATGAAATGTATCTCTCAAATATTAAATGTTCCTGAAGTGAAATCCTTCACTTAAGACCAGAAATACTTTTGCTTTGAATTATGCTAAGATGTTTAATATGTATTTAAGAACAGAAACTGGAATTAGTAAAATGCGTTACTCTGTATATATGGCAAGTAGTGGCAGAAATTAAATGGTTTCATGGCAACAAATACGATTTTAAACGCTCTCATAGGTTATCATTTTACTAAAGCAATGTAGGCTTTCACGACTGGATTCACAATTCGAATTTATATCCAGGATGGACGGCTGCAGATAAAAATCCCACTTCCAAACGTTTCCTTCTACGACAGGCATCCTTAGTGGCGAGGTGGTCGTCGACGAAGTGTCCTTCCAGACAGCTCGCTTGTGACTGACAAACATTTGTTTTTGGCGCTGAGGCGCTGGTGATTGCCGGTTAGGGCGCTGGAGTCGGCTGTTGATTCTCACCCCGCACGACGTGATCTGACGCAAGGTGTGCTCTCATGACTAGGTAGTCGGGTGCAAACATGACTCACGTCTCATGATTGACTTTGGGACGATTTTCTCTTCAGCCGACGGAGTGTGGGTATCCATTTCGAGTGGATTTACATTCCTGCTTGTTTCATATTAAAATTCATTGAATGCTTATGAATAGCAAGGGCTTCATAGTGTGGACGGGCATGGTAGTGTTCTGCACGGGATATAATCTCAACGTCCTTAAAAATTTGATGTGTTCACAGCCAGAAAAAACGGGTTCTATCACTGCCGACTTCAGTGTGGCCAGTTCTTTTTGTGTTCGAAAAGACGGGTGTTAATGCCCCGTTGAGAGGTCCCGATGTAAACAGCACCGCAAGAACAGGAATCCAGGTGCTGATGAAAGTCTGGAAATAGTATTTCCTCTAGACCACGGCCGTCCAACCTGGGAGGTAATTCGAATTTTTATTTTATTGTATTTTGTGTTCCTTTAGAAGTTACAGTGTGAGGGAGATAGATCATGGCGAAGAAACTATTATTTTACGTTATCTGTGTTTGCGTTTTGGAGTCCATAGTAACGAAATTCGTATTACTCGCGCAACTTTTCTTGAACGATGACCTTGAACCCCCTCCCTTGTGCAAGAAACAGTTGAACGCAAAAGCTCGCAGCGGGCACTGATGACAACCTTCCAAGCATTGAAACTTCGTTGGCGCGAAACAGAAGCTAGTCAAAGCCAGTTGCTTTCATAATGCAGAACGCCTGTTCAGGTTTATTATCAATATCAAAAGAAATGGCTGAGTCAGGTCCAGGTCCTTCAAGAGAGTCACCTAAAACTCCCGAAAAAGTTAAGCACAAGATGCAGTTTTGACTTTCATTTCACAGACGTTGGCATTACTTAAAATAATCTAGTGGCCTACTTTGTAACTAATACCCCCACTCCACCCGAAATCGTCAATCCATCGTTCAAGAAAAGTTGCCCGAGTAATACCAAAGCACGTTTTTGTTATAAACAAGTAAGTATTAGATATCGTATTCAACTTTCTAGCATATTGTATATTTTAGATTGAAGGGTCATTTGACAGTTCTGTAGTTAATTTACGTGAAACAACAAGAAATGCCTTTAATTTACGTTGCAGTCGAAAAGCGTGATTCTTTTGATGGTGACACACGATGTTTCAGTTCCCTCTGATTATTAGTTGAGACATGACAATTCAGTGCTATGTGAATTCGTGAATATGCAGAAGAACAGACTTCGTGCTGCAATGAAGCATTTTTAATTCACTGTTGGGCTACTGAGCAGATTATATCACAGCTCTTTAGGAGTCTTTGGACAGAATGTGAAGGAAGTGTTTGTTTCCATATGTTTAGTGGTCAATGTAGATAAAGGTACGGATTGCCGATTGAAGTCTCCACGACGGAAATCATAAAAAAAATTCATATCTTCAACATTGAAGGACACAAACTGCAAATGCGAGAAATGACTTTCACGTAATCTGTATAGCTACAGCACCCTGAACAAACAAAGATTGGTGAGAAAGACGTGTGCTCCAGATGTTATTGCTGTCCGTGAAACATAAAAGCTTCCGAATGAACATTTCCATCCTGTATTTAGCGATGTGCTCTCATGGCTATCCGAGGGATTTTGTAATGATGGGAAAACCGTTTGTATGAATGACCGGACTAGGAGAAAATAATATGCCAAATCTTGCATAAACTTATGAGAACCCGATGTAAACCATTGTTCCGATTAAAACAGTGAGCGGGTATTGGAATTGGTTCGTACTCAATACAATAATAAACGTTAGTTGAATAATCTCTAGGAAAATAATTGTGAGAATATCGAACACAGACTAGTGTGTTTTAAATGTTATGAATCAAAATATGCATTAAGAAGTAGTTATGGGACACTTACTGGTTAATTGTAGTTGAGGCAATGAACGTTTGCATTTAATACATTCTGTTATTACATTCTTTAGGAGCTGGACATTTGAATTTTAACATTCAAACTAAAATAAAATATATTTAGTTACATTACATATTACCACTTACATCATTTGTAATATCTATCATCAGGAAAAAAACATGTTCATCTATTTTCAAATCAAGGTAATTTTCAAGTTAGAATTACTTCATAATTGCTTGTTGTTCTTTCAAAATGGAATATTCTAGCTTGAAGCCAATCACTTAATTGATGCAATGTGAATGTGAATTATAAGGATATGACTTTAGCTGAATGAGATATTTTCCTCAAGCGACCCAAAAGAATATATATTTTCTTAGAAATATCACCAGTAATAAAACTGGCAAACGATCCCACAATAATTGCTTTCTCCAATTTGTACTATATGCCGGAGGGGAAAATAATATTGCCTCTTGCAGATTCTACAACATTTAAAATGTGTAACTACTTCAGAGGAATCTATACAGTTTTTGATTTGTTGCTGCCACGTTGGAAGTGTCAGACGGAGAATGTAAAACGACGCTTGCAAATCAGCTATCCATATGACAGGTACCTATATATGAATAAACTGTACGAGTGCTCAATATATGTAATAAAGTATCACCGATTAGTACACATGATTCGATGAACCAGAAAATCCCCAAAATATTATTAGCTATTTTTGAATGTTCTCTAAACATGCGGACAAGAAAAGAAAGCATAACGTTTGAACAAAGATATTTGATCAAAAGAATTATGATACATGGGATTTTTTTGTGTTTTTTGGGAAATAAGCGTAACAAAATTAATTTTTTAAATTTATTAAACATTAATTTCATTATGCATATCTTGCTTCAGGGTTTTACGACATGAAACTTCCATGTGACGGCGCGTTCCGCTTCCTTATCAGTATTTACTTGGCTGCCCGAGAGACCCTGCGTTCTACTCGTAGGCACAGATGCCAGCTATTCGGCCGACATGCTGCGGTCTTTCTCAGAACGAAATGTTGTTTGCCCTGAGGAGGGTCGCAGCATAAGTGTTTCTAAGATACGGAGTCTCCTGGACAGCCAAGAAAATAATGAAACTACCAACTTCACTTCGATTCCAGAAGACATCCCACTGAAAATTCCACAGTTTTCCCTCCAAATTTCCAAATTTTATTCACGATTTTTGTGATTGAATATTTGGAATGTGTATCACAGTAATAGGGTAACCGGCTTGTGTCCTTGAGTCCCTTTGATACTCAGTCTGACCTATTCCGGAGCAAGTGAATAGACGACGCGTCTCGGCGAGACCATGCGACGGGTCTCGGTCTTGTAGTAGGAAACTATCAATTTTTTGGAACTTTTGGAACAATCAATGAGAATTCTCGTAAAATTTGGTTTTGGGAGATTTTAACCGCCTAAAACTCGTTCGGGTCATTTTCATGGATCTACAGAAGTGCAAATCGAGTTCCATTATTTATTACCCTTGTGAATATTTAGGAAGAATTGTAAAAAGTGTTTTTAAAGTTTTCAATGTATCTACAATGGTTAAAATTTACTAAGTATTGCCCTGCTTTTCCTTCAATAACATTTTTCGTTAACGTAATTTTGTAATTAAAAATGTTTGAGGAGAATTTATTTTTCATACAACTTTCTATACCTGGAGATGGACAAGCTAGACGACTATAATATGCTTAAAACTCCTGTTTATTTCGAACTTGCTTAAATCAAAATATTAATCACGAAAACATGCGCCGAATATAACGAACTGCGTTAGTTACAATGTTCTCATTCATACAATACTCATTCATCCCTCTTTCGATGTCAGAAAGACTTCAATATTCGAAAGAATGAAGAGTACCATCTTGTCTGCACAGATCCGAAGAATGCGGCGAAAAGAGTCCAACCGTGAGAGAGCTGCTCCTGTGCCAGGTAGCTGAAAACCCAATTCGCACATCGCACAAGGTGACGGTTGTGGGCGTCGGGCAAGTGGGCATGGCGTCTGCTGTGAGCTTCCTCATGCAGGTCAGTGCTGACCAGGGCCTGTTATTTATTTGGTTAATAACTGACCATCGACCAGTTATTAACCAAAAAATTGTAGAGATATGTACCATACGGGCGACAGGAATATTTAATAAAGCGGCAAATTCATATGCATGTGAAAAAATGGAACAGTTTTCAAGAAACAATTGTTTACAATTTTTTTAGTAGCCTTCAAAATTAACCAAAAACAACTCTTATTTTTAAAAGAATACATGGCTTTTTATAAAAAATCAATTTTAAAGACCCCATTTAATTAAGGAAAAGTTCTATCTCCAAAAATGTAGTTCGTTGAGGGAGACAAAATACTTTAGTCATTTTTGACAATTCAGAGCTTTCAGTGCATTCAGACTTGATATTTTTTATGTATCATTGATGTATTTGAACAAAAATTTAAAAAAAATTGAGCCACTTTTGAGAAAATTTCGAAAATGTCGTTGAGACGTTATGTAAAATATTTTGAAAACAATTAAAACTAATGTAATAAATAAATAGAATAAATAAAAAATAATAAATACATTTAAAAAATCGTTTGGAATTCGACAGTCTGCTACATCAACCAGATTGATAGGAAAATATCGTTGAAAATTCTGTGTATCTGTTACGCATTAGAGGTCTTCACAGACGTATAGCCGAAAACCACTTTTTCGTTATTAAGAACTCGCAGGACGTGAATTCTATTACAATCGTCTCCTATATTATTTCAGTAGTATAAATATATTCTTCGGCTCTCACACGCAACGCAACCGTTCTTTATAAACGAGGTCTCTGAAGAAAGAAAGCAGCACTATGTCTACCACATCGTTAAATAACTCTTAATCGAAGTGTTCTAGGGCCTTAAAAACTAAAATATTGAGGCAGAAGGCCTCAAATAACCGCACCTCATACCTTAATCTATAGGACAAGATATTCGTGGACATTCTATTAAATGTTTGCTGGTTAGGCACGTATCGGCACACACACCGTGGTTTGCACAGACTGGCGAGGTTTATTTGCATAATTATTAATTCAAGATTCGCTCTCGCAGCAACAACTAGAAGTACTATTAATAGTTGCTTGATACAGACGAAGATAGTTTCTTTTGCGTGTAGTGAAAACATGCATTTAATCTTTTGAGGTCTTAAAGTGCTGTGTACCTAATTGTGGAGGAAAGTGGGTGTTCAGTGAAGAGTACCAGACCAGAGACCTGTACGAGTATTTTTGTAATGAGCAGTGATTCGGTAGAACTTTCAGGTCGTGGTCAGTCGCATAGCATTCTCAAGAGTAAAAAGATTTTTTAATACTTTTGTGACTATCCCTAAAAGCAAACTGTCAAAGAATATTGAATAATTACTTCAAATATTTTAAGGCAGTGTTGTGAATGGTTCCAAGAAATCTGTCAATAATCGTAAATAAATCTTTAGTGGACATTTCTTTTGCATATCAATTGCATTTTTTACATTTGATATTGTGTTAATACAATGGAAGTTACATTTACAAATTGTTAAACAAATAAATACGTTTCGTTAACAACTTTCCCTCTTAGAATGGAAATAGAAGAATAGGGAAGAGTGTGGAGTTGGACATGCGAGAGTTATGCGTGTATTACTTACATATGCGCGCACAGGTACGCGTATGTATTGACTTATGACTTTCACTGACTTATGTTTCTTAAATAAAACACTCAAATAGAAACAGGGTCCTGGCCTGTGAACTCTTTTAGCTGGAGAATTAAACCTAACCTGAAATTCCAAATAACATAAGATTAATTTTCTGTTGAATTGTTTGAATATTCTTTTGTCTGTTTCTAGAACGTGACAAAACAGCTGGTACTGATCGGGCGGAGGAAGGAAAAGGTCACAGGCGAGAAGCTGGACCTACGACACGGTTCTGTCTTCATGCAGAACGCGCTTATCTTTGCGGGCACAGGTGAATACGAGGCTGCTGGGTGAGTGGGCGATATTTGGAGTGATGGTTAAAAATATTAGGATTACACATGTGGTAATGAATTGTCACATGGCAACCATCCCCGCATGTGTCACATAATTTAGAAATGTTCGCTTTATAAGTAACCGATGAATTTTGTACAACTCTTCTCTGACTATTCGCTATGTTTTGTGGTACCATCGAAAAAAAATATAGTGTTCCATTGAGAGCTCGACAATTGCGTAGATATCAACAACCACGGAAACTCCTCTGTTGGCGTAGACTTATCGGTGAGCGCCGATTCGCAGTTGGTGGTGGTCGCAGCGGGCGCGCGGCAGAAGAAAGACGAGTCAAGGTTGGCGCTGGTGCAAAGGAACGCAGACATCTTCAAGGGCTTGATCCCTGAATTAGTGAAGCACAGCCCGAACTGCATCTTGTTGGTCGTTACGAACCCAGGTACGAAAAATTAACTTTCTTTAGAACCACTATTGGCTTAGGTGGCTCAGGGCATCAATTAATTTCACTGCAAGGGCTCTGACCAGAAAACTCTAGGGTCTGAGTCCCGACGGAAGCATGGTTTTCGACACCAGTTAGGTTGTCTTTAACTGCTGTCTCGATGAGAATTCTTGCGGCGAGCTGCTCCAATCGGTGATTATTTTTCCAGTTTCTTCGATCAATACCAGGTGACTGCCCTAGCAGCGTTCTTTTCTTCCTCTTCCATGTCATATCCTCACTCTTTTACACTAACACATTTGCACTAACATGCACTCTACACTAAGGCAGTGTCGGGACACCGGTGGACACCGGTCGGGACACCGGTCGGAACACCGGTCGGACACGGTCGGGACAACGTCGCGCTGGACACCTCGGACACGTCGGACACCGTCGGGACACCGGTCGGGACACCGGTCGGGACACCGGTCGGGACACCGGTCGGGACCACCGTCGGACACGGTCGGACACCGGTCGGGACACCGGTCGGACACCGTGCGGGACACCGTTCGAGGACACCGGTGGACACCCGGGGACACTGGTCGGAACCGGTCGGACACCGTCGGACACCGTCGGGACACTCCGGTCCTTGTTCCGGATAGAGCGATGCGCAGCCGACGTAGGGGGGAAACAACCAGCAAGCACGTGTAGGCAGCGCAATCTCGCCATCCCACATAAGTGATCAATATATCACGCAGATTTATACAATATATAAATTACACAAAATTCGAACTAATTGCCATCGCCACTGACGCGCTCGTGACACAAATAATCAATCAACACGTTGCGGAAGTGATGAGACGTACGTGCGTGGAAGCTGAGTGGACTGCCGTGCACGGGTGATCGCTCAGGTGCGCGTGGATTCAGCGCGGTTCCGCTTCTTCATTCGAGGCGTCTGGGTGTGCGGCCTAGCAGCGTTCACAGTTGATCATCGGGGACACGGGACAGCAGCGTGAGCGTGGCTTAAACGCCATCCGCACTGCCGCCACAAAAACAACGCGACTGATTATGGTGTGGTTGTGAAACTGATTCAATCCTTAGGTGTGATAACTATTCAACGCTTATGGGTGCGGGTTGATGACAAAGATTCAACTCACTTATGGGCTGAGGTTGTGACAACAGATTCAACTCGCTTATGGGGTGCGGGTTTGTGACAACAGATTCAACTCGTTATGGGGTGGGGTTGGTGGACAACAGATTCAACTCGCTTATGGGGTGCGGTTGGTGACAACAGATTCAACTCATTATGGGGTACGGGTTTGTGACAACTGATTCACTCACTTATGGGGTGCGGTGTGACAATGATTCAACTCATTATGGGTGCGGTGATGAAACTATTCAACTCACTTATGGGGTGCGGTTGATGACAACTGATTCAACTCACTTGGTTTGCGGTGACGCAGTGCCTGATGTGTCCTGCGTGAACGTGTGGCGTACGCTCCGAGAGCTGAATCCTGCGCTGGCTCTTCAGACGACAAGGAGAATGGCGGGTGCGCAGAAGGTGGTAAAGAGGTGAGCAGTGGACTTTCTTACGTTTCAACGTAGAATATTGCGGAACCTATGCAAACATGCGAAGGGCTGTTTTAGTTATTAATTATTGTATTATTGCAGTGTATAAAAGATCTTAAGCAGAGCTTTTCTCCGAATTTTCGTTTAGACATTACTCTTGTTAAAACTATTCATACACTTTTATCAAAGAGACTGAAAGACGAATTGAATTATGAAACTAAAATTTGCAATCATCCTGATTATTCTAAATATTACTGTATTTCTAATCTGAAATTGTTCCACAATGTGGGACGCATATTCTTGAGTTTGTTTAATTCCAGAACTTAGCTATTTGTGGATTGGAAGAAATCACTGTGTGTCAATATTATTTGCCAATAATCTGGCTATTTGTCTGTTTTGGTAGTTTACTAGAAAATTAAAGAATGGAAAATTCAGTTGATGTCTTCAAGAATGGATATCTGAGAAATATGAATGTTTACACATCCATGATAGATAAAACTGACATACGGGCCGATTTGTTAAATTTGATTTTAAAATATTCAAATTGGATTAAGTGTTGTTCTATATTCTACCGTAAACATCTTGTTACAGTATTCTATAGATCATTAAACTCGGACTAACAGATTCTGTTGATAATTCTCCAATCTAGAATTGAAATAAATGTCGTTCATAATTGTCTAATAGATATCTTAAATACCTACCAGCAATTGGAAAGTGTACGTACCTCCACCGACAGACCACCATCATCTATGAGGTGAATACCTGTTGTTCGCGTGCTGCGCAGTGCGTACGAGGTGATCAGCTGAAGGCTACACGTCGTGGGCCATCGTCTCACTTGTGGCAGCCCTCGGGCGCTGTCATCCGCAACACCGAGGAGTATCAAGCCCCTCGTCTTCGCAAAGGTGGCTTCCTGCAGCACGCGCCAAGTCGTCGTTTACTGCGTTTGGGGCAAAATCGTAAGAAACTTGCCCTTGAGACACCTCTGCTGACACGGCTCATTATAGCGCATTTTCTCCATATCTCCTATAGTACAAGTGGAGTGTGTTGGATCACCTCAACATGTAAAATCATGTCTTTAGTCCAATTCTTTAGAGCCTTACTTCGCCTACGCCAAAATTAAGTTTTATTAGTGTTTCCCACGGATGGTCAAGATAAGTCGGATGGTGAGAATATTGCAAGTTTTGTGCCGAAAATGGATGCGTGATAATTGATGGATGAAACGTGTGTCACGCCTGACTTTGTGAATTTAAGCGTTTGAGCTGAAACTTAGAAAATATGAGAGGATTAGATTAGTTGTCCCTTCCGGAGATGTCATGCACTTTTTAAAATGTAGAAGTAGTTGTTGATACATACCTAGTGACACTGAGAGGGAGAAAAGTTTAGTATTGCGGCAATGTAAACTGGTTTCGTTGGCACCATAATGAGCGCTGTCCAAATATTTTTGGAGAATGGGAAGAGAATGCCTTTGCCATATCCGTAGCCTTCATCTTCTCTTACACGCGCCCTTGCAGTTCAACCCGCCTCTTGGACCCGAGACCCCGTTTTCCATACACCCCTCGCTCTCCTTCCCCGCCTCCCTCCCGGCGACAGAGTCGCTCCTTTGCTCGACTTGGCGACACTCCTCCACCGCTCTGAGCGCCGGAGGTCGTGGGGCGCATGCTGATGTAGCTTCAGCCAGCGCAGCGGTAGTCCGTGGAAGTTTCCGCGAAAGAATACGCAGTATAATTTTTTTTTGATTTTTTTACAAATGTTACGTTACACTGTCCGTGCGTCATCAGTCATGCGAGAGGTGGATTCACATCCCCATATGTTCGATACTCTAAACCAACAACAACAAAAAAATTAAAACAGTGTGTTACGTATATAGTGAACTTCCGTCCCGCAACAGTGTATGATCGTAAGCGCCGTATCTTGGTATTTACAATAATTTCAGCGCCGCTGCTTTTATTATCCAACGTAGGTGTCCGTTATCTCAGTTAATGTTCATCTTGAGGTAATGTCAAATAAAACACTTGTGCGGTGTGACGCAGTGCCGTGTGGTCCTGCGTGAACGTGGCTGGCGTACGCCTCCGAGAGCTGAATCCTGCGCTGCTCTTCAACAAGTCCAACAAAGAAAAATGCGTTGTTCGTAAGTTCTGGATTGCTAATCAATCGGAAAACTGTTTACCTGCTTGTTGCGAGGATATTTTGTTTTTGTATTCTTGAAAAACCCCATAAATTATATCAAATACCTTCTACAAGGTTTCGTCAATATTCTAACTCTTTAAAGATAATACTATTATATAACATCTACTAATTGATACCCATGGTTACTAAATGGTTACCCAATTAGTAAGTTATATAATACAAGAGTTTCCTGTAAAATCACGACTTAATCGTCAGGCGTTCATCATCTTCGAAATCTAGCAGCTCCTCGCAAACAATCCTGCCTCTACAGCAACCCCCTACGCACCTCAATTGATGCATCTCTTTAAGTGTGAATAAGCTCGTTTAAGTTCTATATTTACATTTCGTGACGTAGTGTAATGTTAGGGAGTACGAATACGAGTCTTGTTGGGTGCGCTTCTTGTCGTTGGGGGGGATGCTCGAAGTGTGTAATTGTGTGTCGCAGGAGTCATCGACAAGCACGTGTAAGTCTCTTACATTCGTAAGACATACCGCAAGACATACGCTAACCCTCAAAACGATTAAAACAATGTAATGATAAGGAAGTATGATTAAGTGCCATTATTGGTGCCCTCTTTAGCTGTACGCTTCGCAAAACAATCATGTTGGACGTAACGTCGTAGTCTCGGGAGCTTCTCCCACCCTGTTGCAGCTGTGATTTCCTTCTCTGCGACAAGAGGCGCGAAGCAATTGCGAAATCGCAGCTATTGGCACGACCGTCATCATCACCCTCTCTTCAGAAAGGGATTCGCACTCCCAGAGTCCAGAGGAGAATTCATCAATATACTTGTCCATAACATTATCACATTACTGAAAACCTTCAAGATACAGCTTTTTCTGTTGATAATTTGACAACTAGTACTGTAAGAAACACGAAGTTACCTTTCGTCTGAACACTCATCAGTTTATCACTAAACTGCAGTATTTAACCGCGCGACCCAGAGAGAGAAACGGGGAGAGGCGAAAGACTGGGAGAGAGAGGGCGAGAAAGACTGTGGAAAAAAGAGGAGAGAAAGACTGGGGAGAGAGGGGAAAATCTGGGAGCTATGTTGTGACAAAGAGGGTGGCAGGCAGAGAAATATTTATCGCTTTGAGGGAGAAGTCACGTTCGGCATGCCGCAATGGAAGTTTTTGACTGGTAGAACTGTAGTGGTAGAGGGTGTTGAACGTTCCAACATTGACCGTGTGTGCAGGGGTACTTCGCATCGACAAGGACGTGTACCTGTCGCTGCCGTGGTGCTTGGGGGGGGGCGCGTGTCGCACGTACTGCGCATGCGCCTCAAGGAGAGGAGGCGTGCCGCTCGCCAAGTCAGCGCGCGTTATAGAGTGGTGTGCAGCGTCAAACTTTGAGCACGTCTGTGGATATGCTACGAATGGATTATTGTATTTTATGTGTTGCAGTTAAAGCACTTAAAAAGTGTACGTGGGTTTTTACAAAGCCATTAAACTTGTATAGTATAGGAATTAATTATACCATAATCCTTTATAAAATACCTTGTTATTAAGCGTTATATTAAAGGACACGATTACATGAACACTCTCATACTAGACGTGGTACTTTCTTGCATGATATTTTATTTATTACTTGCAAAATATGAAGATAGTTTAAATTTGAATTTGATGCGTACTGAACTGTTTCCAATTGTTCATGCGGCTCTTCTCAAAGATATTAACAGTTCTTTTATGGTTAAATATTTTTATTTTCTGTATAATGCTAATGTTAATACGCTATTCTAATTCAACTTTAGCACAGTTTCTTCATTCCGTTATGTACATTTTACCTTTATCAAGAAGTAAAACTGTCAAGCCATTATATGCAACTTTCATTAATGAATTAGAAATATTTTAATCGATTAAATTTTCAATGAAATATAATTCCCAATGACGTATTTTTACTATAATTAATCAGCATGCCGTTTAGTTTCTCACTTCCTCATATAGAATTCCTGACATAAGTTCAGAATTTTATTTTTTTTACAAGAGGACATTAAGAATTTAATTAAAGAGCCAACTATAATATTTTTCTCAACAAAACTCTGTCATAAGTAAAAAGTTGCAATAGTGTAATTTAAACTTGTAAGATTATCATATTTTTCACCCTTTAGAGGTTATGGGAACCGGCGTCAATGATTTGTGGAGTGAAGCATTGACAGTTTTGAAACTTCAGAGTGGTCTGTGTTCATGTCAATAGATTCATATGGTACTTTGTCGACCTTATTTAAAGTAAATATTTTGAACTTTATTTTTTTAACTTATATATGTTCTATGAAATGGAAAACCACAATAAAGTCATTTCTCTGTAGGGTGCCGAATAACTCTAGGAAAGATGTGTTGTGTGGTAAGTGCTGTACTTACCGGTGTACTAGATTTTAAGTACCAAAAATATGATAAATGGAAGAAACAATTAACATTTTGAAGTCTATGATGACTGCGCCAAAAAAGGGGAAAATGCATCACCTACCTCTCTCAACCGAGAGATAACATTCCGAGAGCTGCTCATGTCGAAGTCGAAAGGAGTGCGCCAAGTTAATGCAATATAGCCTTTAAATACAGAAAATATAAAAAATTAACACAGTTCATAATTCCTCACGAAATTTCAAATATCGTACTCATTAATTTTTGAAATTGAGATTTCAATACATGTCTAAGATACCTTACAAATATTATAATCCAAAAATATTATTTTCCTGCTCATTTAATGAAAACAAAATGTTATACACAATTATATGTAAACAAATGTTTATATAATTTGTAATATTCAATCAAAATCAAAAGGTGTGCTACATACGAGGTATAAAATAATTAAAAATTATCAAATACTTTTTCACTGCAATGAGAAATGAGAAATAGCGAAAATAGAATAAGTTCAAATCAAGTTCGAACTTGAGACCGATAGCTAACACATGTTTTGACTCTCCTGTTACATTTAGGTCTTGTTGGTTACGACATTTTGCATTTTCTGAACTACACGTGAGTCGTATGCTTCCACAGCAGTGTTCTTGGCTCTTACGTTTCTGAAACCCTTCGCCTTTGTCAATAAAAGCTCTGAGGCACGTTACATCATTGTAACATTCATCATAAACACTTTGCATCATAAAACATTTCATCAACAATTCTCATAAACAGTTTGCATGTTGCAAAAATTGACGAGCGTGTGTTTAACATTTAACATACGGAGACCACAATCTTCTACTCCGTAGCAAGAAAGTAGAATTCGAATTTAATGTTATGCCATTCATTTTCGAAATATTTTATAATTGTTTATTATTACAGAACTTATATGAAACATTTAATAATGCTTACTCCTTAATGCACCTGTATTCAAACCATACTTAACAATTTAATCGTTCATCTGCAAATTCGTTTTTTTTGAGTTGTGCCAATATTGCAGTCCGTAAACGATATTAATGAACAATATGTTAGCTGCAAAAACGCTGTTAACATAAATTACGTCATGATATAAGGAAAGAAACTGCAGAAGCTCTGATTATAGTATGTGACTCTTTAAAGCACGGGACATTTCACACTGAGATAAAGCAAAAAAAAAGTATTCTAGATTGTTAATTTCATTGGCTTGGTTCTAATCCAGCGTTCATTGTTACGCCGATAATGCATTATATAAATAGTACACGTAAAACACTTGGTGTCGTTAAAATACTTAGTGCTCATAAGCCATTTACCTCGCTTGACAGTTTCACCGAAAAAGAAAAGAACGAAGTTTCGCTCACCCGTTGGCAGATGCCGTGCCGTGTCGCGGCAGCAGGTGTGAATTTCAGCCTGGAAAGTAACCTTTTAAAACCTCAATTTTATCGAGGCAATTTTTTTTCGGGAAACTGGACTGCATTCTTTATGAACACAGACGTAGATATGGGAATTTATGGATGGATTGGATATTTTTTTTGATAACGAGAGCTTCAGCCACCCAGTACGATTAGAAGAGGTTCTAGGAAGATTCATTTTTGGGCGAAAATCATTCTAAGGCAGTACATTTGTGGCAAGCAATTAATTTCATCTGGCATTATTTTTTTCACAATTTCATAAATGAACCATCGTTTAATTTCCAATCGAAATACCGCGAACCTGTCCTTGAAAAGTTTGGAATTTTGCCAACCCTGCGGTAGCTCACTAGTCCTTGAGAGATAATCATATGAGAGTGAAACTTCTGTTTCTCACTTCTGTTGTTGACGTTTGTTTAATTTTAGAAATTTCTAATCATGTAACGAAACTGAAATATATAGTTTTAATTTCAACCAGAGAGGATTTTGTAAAGAAAGTAACTTCGTATGTAGTATACGAAAAAATATCATTACAGTATTGTGTTGACATGTTATATTACAGTAATTTTAAGTGAAGGAATGAAATAACGTATATAATTAAAT